GAAGTGGTTGAGTCACCATCCCTGGAGGTATTTAAAAGACAGGTAGATGAGGCACTTAGGGACATGGTTTAGTGGGCATGATGGTGTTGGGTTGACGGTTGGACTCGATGATCTTAGAGGTCTCTTCCAACCTTAATGATTCTATGATTCTAAGAGGAGGAGGGGACGTGGCTGTCTGTGCCTGGGTCTGCTGTGAGTCCTGAATGCGGGTGCCGCTGGGGGTAGCGCCTTCTCTGTGGCCGTCTGTGTGCCCGGCTCTGTCAGTGTCTGTGTGTCTGTGCCTCTCTCTGGGACACACACTTAACTTCACTACTGGTTGAACCTACTAATGGGAAAAGGGCAGCTGCATCCCTCAACCCGAGCAGAGACCCCAGGTCCCCGGGGGCACCATGCTGGGCTCCAGCCGCCGGGCAGGAGGGTCCTGGGCCGGGCAGCTGGAGCTAGCGGCCGCTCCTAACTTTCCTTAACTTCTTTAAGTTTGTAAGCATGAGACTATTTACATGTATTCTAATATCTGAATAGGAATAAAAAAACATACCAAGTTCTTATTAAAAAAAAAAAAAAGCTTAACAAAAATATGTTATGAAGACAATCTATCATTAAGTGCAGGAAGCCCTAGCCATGATTTCATTTGCATGCTGGATTAAGGAACGACTTAAGTACAACAGATAGGGTGGGCTACTTTACCATGCTACAGCCTCAACCTTTTAAGAGAACACTTCAATAATTCATACTACTTCTATATATGAATATATATACACATACTTACAAAGCATGTGTATTTATATAAAATATTTCAAAAGACACACTGGGAAAAATGTTCTGTAATAAAAACATTGAACATTTTTTTCCTTTTTTTTAAAAAGAAAATACTATACCTTCTTAAGTAGGTTTTCCTGTTTGTCTATTATACAAATACAAGGACTACAAGCACTCACATTCTGAAAATTAAACTCGGTTACTGTAAATCTTATATTTTGAATGAAAATGCAAGTAAGATGAAGATAAGATGTTTTCTCAAGATAGTCATGTACATCAAATGAATAGATAATGAATGCTGTCAAATGTTTCATGTATGTGAAGACAGTGGTTTGTAGTAATTTCCACAACTTGCAAAATGCCACAAAACAATGTTGATGCATTTTATTATTATTTTTTAATAATTTCTACTAACCTGAAGATGAAGGAGATAGATATATTTTTTAAGTTATAGACATCTCAGACTCATATCTTAAAAAGCAAGAAGAATTACCTAAGAGGAAAAACGTGATCTTGCCCTATTTCTGCCTTTATTTACAGAATTTACAATAGGTTGTCCTTATTTACAGAATTTACAATAGGTTGTCCAATATTTCTTTCAATATTTAAAAATTATGCCTAAATGAGAATGAAAAATATAAAATTCAAATAAATAAGGTTTAAGTGATGTATGCTCTGAGAAATGTCTTGCTAGAAAATAGTAATAATAAAAAAGCCCAGAAAAACAAGGACATCTTCAAAGTTCACCAGAGCAAAAGAGTAACTTCATGTAGCCATGTTAGATGACATTCCTGTAAAATAATGATATGTAAGTAATACACCACATATGATAAACCATATTTGTAAAGAAAAAAGGATTGTTACCGTTAAAGAAAAGGTAAAATGTGCAACATGGGAGTTTAAGGAACAATGACTGGAGACCTCACAATTTCACATTTCAAAAGATTCATTTTTTTAATGTATCTGTGGTGATATCAAAGATCTTTCTAAAAAATATCTAAAGAATAATGAAAGGACTTTTAATATTGCTTGATATAGACTAACGATGCACCTCACCTATTTACCATCAGAGCAATTTTTGTGATAGGTTTTATATCTAACCACAAGATTACTGAAAAACACACATTTAGTATCAGTGTTTCAGTAAATCAACTTTTCCCTTTCTTTGTTAACGACCTGTCACATTTTTATGGAAGAGTTTCTTGTTCATGTAATTTTTCCTTTCTTTTTCCGTTGTATTTGCTTGAAGACTGTGATCCAGTAAATAATGAACTAATTTAGCACTTCAATGAACTAATCTAGGACTATTCCAAAAGTAACATATACCAGTGTTTTTGGATCATGGTTACCCTGACACTTTTGTTTTCTTTAGTTTTCTTTTTCTGCAGATTCTCCTCGTCCCTTATTATTCTACCTGCTAGGTAGTGAGACAGGTTAGGACACCTCATGAGAGATCAGTCGGTATTCTGCCATCAGTGTGACACTGCTCAATTATTTATACCAGTCTCCTCTTGCTGTGCAAGTGTATTTTCCTCATCATGATCTTCCATGGCACTATCTGACATAGACCGTATACATCATGTTCTATCACACAGTTTTTGTTCTGCATTTGCGATTCCAAGACAGCTGCAAGAAGTCAGTGTTTTACCATTCTCACAAATTGGTGTATGTTCACTTCTTGCATTTACTCATTTATTTCAGTCTAGCATCCTCCTTTATTTGTGCACCTAGACAGTTTTTGTATACTATTAGATTATTAAATCCTGCTAATCCAAATTACAGAAGTCAGTGTGACGATATGAATGGGTAAAGTGAATGGAACACTGTCAGAAGCATATACCTCTAATTTATTAATACATCTCATTCTATTAATGTAAACATATAGGGAGAATCTGTTTCTGATATGTGCCTTTCAAATTAAATGAATAAATAAATAAACAAAGGTGTGTGGAAACAGAGATTTAAATGAGGTCTTGTACATTTAGGAAATTAAAATTATAAAATGATCTAACTTTGTTCCTTTTAATTCTATCCAATTAGCACTATGCTGCATTAACTTTTCACATGTCAGGCATAATTCCAGTCACTGGCTGCTGGAGTTTAATTATCACCTCTTTTTTATGGAAAGGAAAAAAAAACCTATAGAAGAGATTTCAAAACAAACTTGATTTAGCATGCTAGGCTACTTTTTATGTGATGGGCCGCATAACCTTCAAATACTTTCATAATACTAGCACTTACACACTGTTTTATATGCTAGCTAATAAATTGCTAATTTGCTTAGCTCATTTAGTTCTTATATGTAACTGTTTCATATTTGGTAGCAAACGCCAGGAGACATTAAAAATACATCATTGTGAATTGCAATCATCCGTGTCAGCATTTCAGTGGAGAAAGTTGTGGAAAAAAATTAAATTATCAATTATTGAAGAGAAATAATACAGTATCAGCATCATCTCACGGCCCAAATATTGAGGCGTGCTTTATGAACTCACAGTGACTCTTCAAAACATGCAACAAAACTCAGGTCTCCTGAACTAACGTGCGGAAGCAAGCCTCGCTGGTCCTAAAAGCTAGACAAGGACACAGCAGCATCACAAGAAGGATGAGCTGAGCAGATGCAAGTCGAGGTCGCACGGCTGCAGATCCTGAGTTATTGGGAATACACATTCCATCCGCTGTAACAAAGGCTCCTACTGTGTAGATGCTGCTCTGCCATACCAGGCCCACTCTCAAAGCAGTTTTTATCTGCTGTAAATGTATACAAACCCTGGTACTTTTGTTTTCAGAGTTCATATCGACAGAGGGCTGAAATAAACCGCTTCTGCCTGACCTGAATCTGCAAAATAGGCTGCATGTTGATGCTGTGACAGTGCTACACCCTGTGCTGTCTTCCTAAATATTTCTGTATTTGATTTGCTATGTGAACTAGTAACTGATCTGTACAGTAAGCTAGAACAAATACAGCTGCACCTAAATTGGGTTTACAGTCATTTCCACCACCTGAATACTTCAAGTGTTCATCGCCATTTGTCCTAAGAGGAGATTTGTATTTCAGGTACTTTATGATCCAAAGGCAATGCTCTATGCAATTCCAAGCCTAACAGTTAGCTACACAAACATTTATAAATGTTAAAAGGACAAAAATAATCCGCAGCTATAATAATAAAATATACCTATTGGTTCTTTCCTCAACATTTTTCTATTCTCTCAACATTTCTTTTTCACACAAGCACAGATGTCATACATCTTTCTCATTGGTTTAACTTTATGGGAAAAACATGCAATGTCCTTTTGCAGGTGATATTGCCACGGCTATTTAGTAAAACAACTGCAATAACTACACCTAGAAACAGTTGTGAAATACTGGAGATCTAATTTTATATTACATTTTTTTTAAGTACAGTTTATTTTATATTAGAACTAATGTTTCTGAAGGCATATTTTTCAGTCTAAATATGGACATGAAAATGTAAGATACTGTGGAATTGTTAGTGAATTTAAAAAAAAAGAAAGTCTTTCTAAGTATATAGTCTTATAACACAGCTAGCTTTTAGTTAAAATATTTTATTTCATTCCATTCAAGAAATCAGTGGAATAGACTTCTTAGCAGAAATAAAAACACATCACCATAATTCTTATTCCCAACAAATAACAACAAAATTCTTCAAAAAAATTTCCACTGCTTCCTACTTTTCTTCACAGTAAGATGGGGATAATTTCACCTTCCTTTAGCTGTTGACAAAGCAGTAATCTAGTTTAAGCTAGTTGTCTAGGCTTTTTCTCCAGAAGATCTATAAATTTATGCACCAGAAGAATATGAATTACCCATAATATTTCAGAAAACTACTTAAGGATGGAATACACTGCATATTAAACTGCCTTTTTTCATTGATTAGAAAAGGTGCATACATATTTGACTTATTTATAAATGAAACATAATATCTAGAAAGCTAAAATTAAGGTAAATTAATGTCACTAGATTTTTTGTTAAAATTCTTTTTGGAAATTATAATAATTTTGAACAAAGAATGAACTCAAAACTCAGTTTCTTTTCTCTAACAGTATTAAATTTTCCTTAAATATCAGTAGATTTTCATTGGACCAAAAGTCTTGGCAGCATTTCTTGACCGACTTAGACACCCCCCACCCCAGTCTTGGAATAGAAAGTTATTTCATTATTTTCTAATAAAGAAAATGCAAAATATAACTTTTATAAAGTAACAAATATCCTCTAATACCTTTGTTGTTATCCATGCCTCCAACAGCATAAAGTGTCCCAACTGTAGATTTTCTAGGTTTAGTTCTTGGACTTTGCATGAGAGTTCTTCTCTCTGGTAAAAGATGGTATTTCATGGCTTCCAGAATAAGCTTCTGGCATTCTAGGTCATCCTTAAAAAGCGCATGGTTTTCTAGGTCAGCCAATATCTGTGAATGACATGATCGTGAATCAGAAATGCTAGAAATTCCTAGAAAAGCAATACCACGCAATGAGAGAAGATCACAAAATGGATGTCATAGGTGTATCACTTCCTTGTAGAATACAGGGGTTTGCAGGGCTATTTTTTTTGGAGGAGGGTTAGGACAATAAGTATTTAGTTGATTTTTAAAAGACTGTAGGTAACTTTTAGATCACTGTTTCACCAACCCTTAAGACTACAATCTTAGTACTCTCTTACTGAAGACATTGAAGAAAATGAAGTATTCTCTTGTAGGTTACAGCCTGACTTATTTTTTAATGGTTTCCAACATAACACTGAAAGGATCCAGAAGGCATCTCTTTGCAAGCATCTTGAATGTGCAGTCATATAACATAACAACATTCTACAGTATTTTATGTAATACTTTCCAGGAACATCCCTTATTTTTAAAACCAAACCAAACAAAAAAGAACCCTAACAACAACAATACCAACAAAAAACCAAATCAAACAAACAAACAAAAAAACAAAACCAAAAGAACTTGCTTGTGCAAGTTTTGAATCTATGGTTTTGCCGTATTATTGGCAAAATTAAGGATTAATAATCCAGATAATGTAACTGTCTTTACAATTGGTATAAAAACTATAATCAATAGTTACCAAAACAGATGCTCAGTCCATACAGCTGAAAGAATATTCTATTATGTTTCCACGGAAGAAGGCTACAAGTTATAAATATTAAGTGTTTGATTCACTTGCCTGTATATACATATCTACTGGCTTTTGAGATGCTGTAAATCACCATATAAGTTTTCAAGATCCCATTGGACTAAGCAACCTGGTCTAACCTCATAGCTGACCCAGCTTTGAACAGGAGGTTGGACTAGAAACCTCCTGAGGTCTACTCCCACCTGAATGATTTTGTGATTCTGTGATCTCGCTGATGTCAGGCCAGAAGAGTGCAACACTTATGCAGATTTTGCGCCATATTTGCCAGACCCATGTAGGTATCTCAGATACCCTAAGGCATCAGAAGTCAGTCAAACTCTCAATGTTTATGTTTAGGCAATTGAGCATTACCTCTAGATGCTGATCCCTGTATTCTGCTGACTATCAAATTAGAGCAGGTTTTAATTGCATACGGCAGCATATCTGTACAGTCTGGTAGATTTCTAGATCTCATAGAACATCTGTCTGGGAGACCAAATCATTTTCAGAGAAGTAGCTGAAGGCCAGGAAGCAGGAGAATTTAGTTCCCAGAGTCTATGAGGAGATACCTCCCTAACAGACACATAGATGCAAATGTATGCAAACTGCTTTGCAGTTGCCTGAATGCAGGCAGTTAGATTCCTTTTAAGGACTCAGCTATTTCATCTGGACTTCAATGGCTGCTGAAGAATACATGAATGTCCTTTGTCAATCTGTAAGCCTTTTGCAGATAACACGTTTTCTGTGACATCTAAAATATTAATAGCTTGTACATGTAGACAGCAGACTCCTGCTTCTGATTTTAGATGTCAGTCATGAAATGAATCTATTCAGGTCCAAAGAAAGGCATTACACACTGCAGTATCTTAACTGGTGATCCAGAACTCTTATTTTACATGGCTGATGACCTAACAGACTTGCTTATTAAAAGAAGCGAATAAGGAGGTTCACCTAGCCTGACAAAAACTGTGGCCATAAGTCAACGTCTAGGGAACAAGCTATAACGCTGTTTTCAAATATATAGTAATTCCCCTTAATATTCCCCCAATGTGCAACTTTCAGATCAGGGATGTTCTGAGGTGGATGTCTTTTCCATGCATTTTGTAATTCTCAGGGACCTTATCTTCCATGAACTAGTTCAATATTCTTTTGAACTCATGTAACATTTTCACAACAAATTTGGCCTATCACTAGCTGTATATGAAGATTTACCTCCCTCTGTTTTGAACCTGGCTCCTGTTGCTTCATTTGCTTTCACTCAATTTGTTTCATTCATTTCTTTCATTCAGTGCCCCCTAATTCTTCTATTAAAAGAGAAAATGAGTAATTGAGCCCTACCATACCAAATTCCTTATAATGTTCTAGACTTCAGTCATATTCTCCATTAGTTGACTGTCTTCTAGTCTAAGGAACCTTAGCTTAGTTAATCATTGCTTGTATGAAAGAAGATTAATATCTTATCTCCCTTGTTGGCTTTTTCTGAACCTTTCAGTTCTGTTTGATTCTTTTTGTGAAGGGAGCAGAACTGCACACAGTAGTCAAGATACTGGCAAACCATGAAGTCTTATGGTGGCATAATGATGTGCTCTGCTTTGTTATCTTTTTCTTTCCTAATAACTTGTAACTTTTGATTTCGCCTTTTTGTCTACTACAGAGCTTCAAGTTGACTTTTCCAGAAATTCATATTTCGTAGACCCAAAATTTCATTCCTGAATGGAAGTGGCCAACCAAAAACCTATGATTTTAAACTTGAAGTTAAGGTTTGGCTTTTTAAAAATTTATTTATTTATTTATTTATTATTATTGTTTCTTCTTCAGTTGCATTATATTAAATTTATTTACATTAAAATTGTAGAAATGCAGTTATTAGGAATTTTGAGTGGGTTAAATGCTACTCACATCTCATGTATTGAAAATTAAAGTATCATCTTTAATACACACACAAAAGCTATGTGGCAATGCAGAAAGATTACTATAGGAGTAATAAGACTTGTGCTATTAATAATCACAGACTTTTTAGAGTGAAGGAGGATTTCATTTTTATTAGTCTCTAACTTAGGTACTTCTAGTCCATGGGGAAGTGTTGGTATAACTGGAAAGTTTGATTCTATTATTAAATTACAGAGTAAACTCTCTAAGTTGAGGATACTATGAATTGCAGTGGAAGACTGGGTATTTCATTATTTTCTGTTCTAACACAAATTCCACATATTTTAGCTGATGAAAGGATTTTTTTAAATTCTTATTTTTATTTAATTAAAGGTAGCTGCCTGAACTAGCAAGGATATGAGGTGCTTTCCACTCATGAGTGAAAAAAACTTGTGGATATTTTGAGTCACACTGATGTTCAGTGAAGTTCTAGGCAAAAATGGATGAAATTCAGTTCTCATTATTAAAACATTAGGCTCTAGTTAGAAAAATTGATAGTTTTAAGCTGTCTGTTGTGCATGGAAAACCTCTGGCACATTTCAGATGACAGTACACATCATGTTTGGCTCTGCCCATCTTCCTGGATATTCGGTATCATAAGATATCCATACATTGATACCATGAAAGAAAAAAACAGGTGGGGAATAAAAAAATGGAAGAGGGGAAAAAGAAAGTAGAAGGAGATACGGAAAGGTACAAAGAGCCCTTACCACAAAGTAATTGAGCTGAGTTCAGGGAGAAGGAATAAGACTAAAAGTGTGATAATTTAGCATGGGAAAGCTAGCAATACACACAAAGCCCCTAGGTACATAGCAAGTAGTAAACTTGCAGAGGGAACAGGTAATACAAAGGAAACCATGAGATTTATTAGTTTGCACAAGGACTGCATAACTAATAAATTAACGATATCTTAGATGTAGTAATCCTAATATTCATGTATTCTCCTTATCAGGATGTGAAAGAAAATGCTATAATGAATATATGCTATATCGCAAATGTACAATTAAGAAGGCTAAACCAAACGTAAAATATTTATTTTGGTTACTAAACCTATGGACCAAACACAATGGTGTTGTTTTACCATTTAAGACACAAGAAAGTTAAAAGAATGAAAATGTGAAAGCAAAGACAGCTATGTTCCTTGATGGTAATGTTTTCAGAAAACATCACTCAATGTAGTTCAGGTTAATAGCTTTATATAAATGTTTGCAAAGAGATTACGCATCAACCGCAAATAATCCCACAATCATGAAAGTAAAAATAAATGTATGAAAGGAAAAGACAGATAACATCCAAAGGGGCTGAAAACGTATGTATTGATATATTTTGGGGACTTCAAATATCTTCCAGGATCTCTGAATAAATCTTTGTCAGCGTGTCAAATCTGGATTCACGTAATAAGTGAATGGATGAGGTCTGAAGTTTTTCCTCCCAATCAATAACGAATGGCTCATATGCTTTCCTTCATTTAGGCAGATTAGGTTTTTGAAAATTGTCATATCAACTTTCTATGTCTGGTGGGACAAGCACTTTTCACATAGTACGTGGAAAATGAGGCATAGAAATCCCTCCATATATTTGTTTTCCAAAACTGTATTTGCTATTATTTTCTAATAAACCAGCAGTATCTATCATATTCATTTTTATAAATGTGCATGATTATTGTATTAAGAAACTACTAAAACACCTTTGAAACAGCAGCAGCAGAATAATAAATAACTGAATGGAAAAACAAGAAAAATATTGAGATTGACTAATATGAATTCAGTCTCAGAAGAACGTTACAGAAAAGATTTGAAATTAAACCTGCTGGTCTTTTAAATTTGTCACAAACTCCCATTCTGGCATCTCCCTAGCATATATGTATCTTTTAAACCAATTAGTTTCTACTGATCTATATACTCCAAGGCCATATGCCTATGACCACAGAAGTTCAGTAAGAGGGAGCCAATATCATATACATAATTGTCTTATATTGAAAGCTTACTCCTCAGAACCACTTGCTTGTGTCTAGATTTCAGATAACCAGACAACAAGAAAAAACCTCTTTTGGAAAAACAAGTTCACTAAACAGGCATGTTTATGGTCAGCTTAAAACAATGTATACTTACATCTATAATAGAAGTGCTTTGTGGCTGAAGGCTCAAGATGCTGGGTTGTCAAGAGTCTTATTAAAATAGTATGAGACACAGGCAGAACAGAAATAGACACATGCAAAAAACAGCAGAGACATTTGTGTTCCTTGATGGCAATATTTTTAAAAGGGGTCACTACACATGGTTGAGGTTAATAGCTTGATATAAATGTTTGCAAATAAATTACACGTGAAATAAATTATACTTGAAAATATTCTTGACTTATTTTTTTACAG